TATCCTCATATGGCGTTGTTTTATTTATTGCATTAATTTAGGGTAAACCGAGGAAATTTTAGTTTTAAGTTTCAATAGAGCCACGCGCTTTAGGGTGTGTATAAGTACAAAAGATGATTAATATTTATGACTTATAATTTAGATTAACATTTAATTAAACAACATTGATTAAAAGCTGTTCTAATATGTAGTGTAAATGTATCGGTATCCTCATCAGTATCAAGCACCTGTACTAGTCGACTGAAAATGTCCCGTCTACCGGTATATGTCAATTCAAGGAAACTAAACAGTTCTTGGAAGGACTCGAACACGGACATTGACAAATCACGTATGTCGACGTGCTCGATCGAGTCCTCCACGATAGCCTCCGATAGCTTATATCGGTCGATGACATCGTGCTGCACGATCCGTCCGACCGCTACTTTCACATGCAACGACACAGAAATCGGTTCGAAATCGAGAAAAAGCATGAAGATTATGTCGAGGCCCAAGACCTGCGGGGCCTTGGATGATAAGGCTTCGTTTAATGCAAAACATGAGGCTGACAATATGAAGTCATTCAACTCGAAAGTTAAGACACCAGTGAAGAAGAAGAGAGAGTGGCAAACGAACCTTCTGCCTGAAACCATAAACGAAGTAAAAACTAATTTGATAGCTTTTTGACTTTTGAAAATGGAATATTTATACTTAGATATTTGAGAGATTTTAATAATCCTTTGGATTGATAAACTATTACAGCCTTAATTGGGTTAGGAATCCACACGCTTATAACAAGTTATTAAGCAGCAAATATTATTTCATCTCGCTTTGATGTATCGTATAATGACATATGAATATGAACATTGACAGGACATTGTCATTTGTTTCGTAAAAATTCATAAAAATTCATAAAAAAATTTATAAATATTCATAAAAATTAGAAGGAAAAAATATAACCATTAACGCGCATTAAAGCGATTATATAATTAACAATTTTACATTTAATACCACCTACATTTTTAACGAATAAATTATATTTTCGAGCTAATGAAATACAAGATAAACATAGTTAATCAATATTGAAAGTAATATAAACGATTTATTTGAATAAGCTTTATATGAGGTTGAGTTAACGCTAACATAAACCAAATTAAATGAAATAATTTTACAATTATTGTAAACACATTGGTAAAATTCATTAGAATTCAACAAGCTCCGTGCATTGTAAATTTAGAATGGTTTATATGCTTATAAGTGTTGGTTGTTGGCATTAAATATAGAGCGAAACCCCAGAGAAAAAACAATCATTATCCACTATATTATTAATCTTTATTAATAGAAATTTCACCCAAGTATTTATATTAATTTAAATTGCAAAATATCATACAAATAAATTTTTTTAAATTGAATTTCTGTAGATATTTTAATAATTGGCATTGCGAATTTCATTTTATTAATTTCTCAATGGGAATCTATAATTTAATAGGCATCTAAATTAATTAAGATGTTTTATGGAAACAAATTTACATTTTTGAAAAAGTTTATCGTGTAAAAATTGATATTATAAATTAATAATAATTAGAAATTTAATTTATAAATTTGAAACGATTTACATTACATTATTAATATATTACATTCAATAAATAAATGACGAATTAAAAAACTCAATAAATTTATTTTATATTAATTTATTATTTAACATATTTTTTTATTGTATCAATTTTAATTATATTAAATTCAATTACAATTCAATCATATATTCTTTTGAATTTATTACACTTATTTTGTTTTGTTTTGTTAAAGATTAAGCATTATTTATTTATTTCTATATATATATATATATATATATATATATATATATATCATATCATATCCATGTTCTGTTCTTTTCAAGATAAGTTTTTTGGTCCAAGTAATATTTTATCATCTATTCACTATTATATATATTCATTGATTAAACAAAAAAAAATTAAATTTTTCTTTTTAAAATACCACTGATAGATATCTTCTTTTCTCAATTCGAACAAAAAGAAAATTTCAAAAGTTTGCTTCTTAAAAAACATATACTAAGGCCTTTCCATAAATTGTTTCAAATAAAAATCAATTTATACTAGTTAATGACACAGCATTGTCATATTTTCGACTGCGAGATGAATAGTAAAATGAAAATGAAATTAAAAGATAAGAATTAATGACAAAATTTATTGAGTAAATCAAGGTACAAGCGATGGGCGTAGATCATCACCGAATATTTACAATTCGAATATTCTCATCGTGTACAGGAACAACAGGAAGGTCAAAATTTATAGAAAACATGGAATGAAACGTCACATAAAGAAACTGAAAATGATGATTCTAAACATTTGGTCGAATGACCCATCTTCAAAACAACTTCATCTGGATAATCTCAGCATTTATGAGAGCTTCATGGGCGGGATTGTGGCCAACCTTACCATCCCAAGAAATATTTGAGCTTCGAAGCATCCTGCAAATAGCCGAGACAAAGCTCACGTTTAAGAAGAATTTAAAGTCTTACTCGAATATACACTGAGAATTGTAATTTATATATTATGCCGTATGAAATTCAAAGAGCGAAGCTTTTCTTATATTTTCTTTAATCGAACCAATTTTTGTTTCATTGAAAATTTTACTTTTAAATATTAAACCTTTAATAATTCAATATATTATATTTTTGTGATACATTACTTTAAATTTTATATGATAATAATAATAAAATTTTTTATATACATTCAATTATACTTTTATTGAAAGCTGTTTATTATTTTTCGATTAGAATAAATTCATATTTATTATATTTGATCCTAGTACACTTAATCAATCGATTCATCTTCGTTTCAATGAATATTTTCATGTTTAGATTAATCTTGAAAATAGGCTATTCTTTCGCTTTAATCACCTTTTTAAAAAACTTTATAGTTAATTAAAGTAATGTAGTATTAAGAAAAACAAGGCTGAACGTTTAAATTAGAAAAAAAAATTAATATCCAGGATAATTCTACCATATAACGACCATTTACTTTCTTCCAAAATTTAATTCGTTTATTCTTATCATTGTTTATTATTTAATTAATAGTAACAGTCAATATTCTCAAGAATATTGATAATGCTAAATGACAAAGTTGTGAGTAAATTTTGAAATTTTTTTATCGATTAGTTTAGTTTGAAAATGTAGTCGATAGTATACCCTTCGCTCTAATAAATCATTGGCAAATATTCCTTATAAGGATGATTATTGTGAATTTTATTCCATGTTTAGTATCAGTTGTGTTGCTGAAAAGTGAAAGCACTTGCAATGTTACGAAGAGCTTTGCATAAGTAACGCTGTGCTTGAATATTTCAATAACTCATTAGTAGTAGTAGAATGAAAAAATCCATTTTCCACAGCAACAAGACTTTCCAGATTATCGGAATACAGCGCGACCTCATTTACAATTTTAAGTTATGTCAGCCATGTTCCAACGTCCGTGGTCCACAAATTCATAAACCACCGAGAGCTTATCGCTTAATATAAGAAGTGTGTACGCGGTGTTCGATTGTTACCAGATGGACACTTGATAATGCAAAATTGTTTATTACATTCGCTTCAGTATTTGTTGATAACGTGTCTTTTCGTTCGTTTAATTTTTGCAAGTGAAATTATTTTTAAAGGAGATACAGATATTTTCATTCTTCTTATCACAGCGAAGAGACCGATGAAATGTTTAATTTTAATTGAAATTGTACTAATTAATTGGGATAACCGTTATAATAAGAGAATATTTAATCAGCTCAGTTATTTTGGTTTAGAAATAATTTTAAGATTAAATTGTTCACCAATTTGCCTTAATGTCATTGACAAAATTCATCATACTCATTTACATGTTAGTTCTTACCGTTTTTCTTCAACATGTAAATTATTTCATTCATCAAACATGAATTTCATTGAATATATATTATTTAATTGTTGTTTATATTATATATAAAAATATACATATGTGTGTTTGTATTATTCGTAGTGAATGAAATTATGGTAATATTAACATTAAAGCATAATAAAATAATATTAACCAATCTATACTTCCAAAATATTGTTTATATATAAATATATATATATATATATATATATATTTTTTTTTTTTATATGTTAATGTATTAATTTATGTCTTTAATAAATTGACTAAATTAATTCTTGAAGCATGTTCTGTCTATTAAATAATAATCATCAAGATGTCTTCGCTTTATTGTAAATAGTGGGTTATAATGATAGAAATTGACTTCATTATTGAATTTTTATGAATCAACAATTGCAATTTCATGGAGACATTTCAGTAAATAGTAGTATTATTATTGATTTATTGTAAATTCAAGTGACCAAAGGAATGATTGGCGTGATTAATAAAAAATTGAAATATAATAATTCTTTGTTTTTGTTGTAATAAATACTATGTATTACGATTTTTAATAAACCGTGAAGACTCGAAAATACCACAATACGGACGTAGTTTATTAAAATTGGTTTATTTGGATTTATTATTAGTAAAGTCGACTAAAGGCATGGAAAATTTTTAAAAAAATTCAAGTGAACATAATTCATTTAAATCCATCTATGGATATTGCTATTTCGTAAAATAAAAAATTGCCATCCGACGAAAGAGTTGTGCGCCATCGAGTATCGCGCTGAACGATATCGTTAAATTTAAAAAATTAAACGTTTTTTCTCCTCAAATGGCCAAAAATCAAAGATCAAAGGTAGCATTTTTCCCTTTCGATTCGATCGTCCGCTTAAAATTCATGCTGAAGGGCAAAGGGCATAGTGTCTGTATAAAGCCAAAGTCAATTTCTATCGGTCATGTAAATCAGCTGGCAACATATTTTTAAGCTCAGTTTTTCAAGTTCCAGGAGGCGACGAAACGATCGAAATAGTCCATTTAAATAAATAGAGAGAACCGTTCATGCTTCAAGGGCTGCCCTAATAAAACATGACCCATCATGGCTTGGCGTGTGTCTCTCGATGATTACAGACAATCGGCAGTCGCGGCAGCAGGAGTACATGCGTCTTCAGCAGTTTCAGCGCCAGCGTATGGTACAACAGCAGCATCAGCAGCAACAACAACATCAACAACATCAGCCGAAGCTGAAGCAGCAGCAGCAGCAGCAGCAGCAGCAGCACAACCACCACCACCAACAACAACAACAACAACAACACCAACAGGAGCAGCAACAGAAGCAGCACGACCACCACCACAACCACCACAATCAACAACAACAACAACAACAACAACAACAACAACAACAACTGCAGCGACCACGTGAACAGATTTACTATCGGCACGGCAATAACGGCCCTCTTCATCGATCCCTTACCAATGGACGACAGACGAGACTTTTGCAACCGAGGCGCCACTGCTGTCAATCCTGAGGATAACATCGAGCTTATCATCGCAGTCACGTTTGCCTCGTCGAATAATTTTTTCATCATTTGCAGTGGAGAATGAAGCCAAGCTTTATTCATGCGACCATCTCCTTTGCTCTTGCAGCCTCGCCAAACCAAGGAAATACGATCACTGGAGGGCCAATTTTTTCTTTTATTTTTATGAAAAATATATTTAGGCCTTGTCTGCTCTTCGTTATTCTCTGATACGTATTCGACTTGCCGAAAATTGTATTTTCTTGAAATTTAATTCAGGTAACCCATTAATGATCCATGAACGAATATCGCCAGTTTTATACACACACTTACATTACGATATTCTTATAATATATTAAAATAATCATCAATGTAAAAGTTCAAAATCGCAATAAATTAATAATCGGCGGGGAAGCTTAGTTGAAAGAAGATTTCAAACTTTATTCATAATATTATCGAATATATTTAGTATCGTTGTTTAATTATAAAGCACGGATTTATAAATTTTGCCGCAAAAAGTAATCATTTTTATTATGTGAGAAATTTGATAATATCTTTATACTTCGTACGTAAGATTGTTAATTTAGCTTCATTATTATTTATCTAAATAATGATATTGTTTAAGCAATGTTGTTAAAGCAAATGATATAATAGTCTATCCATTATTCTATTAACAATGAATATTTAAGAGAATCCTTCACACGTTACGTTTGATTTTACATTCCTATAAATTCATTCTACATAACTAATAAGACAATTAATTAAAAATAAGATTATTGTCTTAATATAAACGTTTTAATAACTGCATGAAGCTATTCATCTATAGTAAGATTTTAATTTTAACAAGCACATCTAAAGTCATACACTCAAGCATAAACACACTCTTATCGTATATTTGAAATTCAATTTTCAATTTTTAATAAATTTTATGGGATATGCTGTTTCTGTTCTTTTTTCTTAAAGATGCTAAAACATAAAATGATAGGATTTTAAAGGAAAATTTTATATTGATTTTTGCCTTTATTTATCAGCATTTCACAGCAACCTCATTATTGTTTCTATTTTTTTTTTTTTTAATATTTCTGTGTTAACTTCTTATCAGTCATATAATAAAATGCTTAAATATTATTTATCACTTTTATATTTAGGTAATTTACAACTAAGCTTATATTGCCTAAAGAAACATAGCAATAACGTATATACAAATTAGCGTTCATAAATTAATGTCTACAAATTAGAAAATTGATAAAAATTTTATATAAAAAAATTCGTTTATTCGCTTTCAATGTTACAATTAAGAATATATATAATTTTTAATTTGTAATTAATTTGGATTATAGTTTATGATATATTCAACGAATACGAATCAATAATTACAACATAATAACTGTTATCTATAAATCTTATTTTTACCTCTAAGAATTCAATTTCTTATATTTTAAAAATTTTTATAATGAATTTCGATAAATTCAGCACTGTCACAAACACCTTTGTAATATTGTATAATTAAATTTTAGCATTAAATATTAAAAAAAAAAAAAAAACAAACAAACAAACAAACAAACAAACAAATAATCGATAGCATAGAAGATAATAAAATAAAATAAGAATATTATACTGTAAACAATCAGTATCATAACGAATTTTTTATATCTGCGAAAAGATATTTATAAATACAGTTGATATATTGAAATGTAATTAAGTATTTTACAAGAAAAAAGATTGTCTGATTCATAATATAAATGTGTGTTTGCGAAATGAAATAAATGAGTACTTGTGTTTTACATATTTTTTAATATATTTAATAGTTAAGTTTTATACATTTATAATGCGTCACATATTATTAGTTGTAATTGAGCGTCATTGTAACACGATATGCGACAGGCGTACAGGCATAATTACTATAATAACTAACATATGTATATCCTTATGTACATTATCGTGACAATAAGGACAATATTTTATCGTTCATTCTACCAATTTAATCTCTTTTTTTCCTTTTACACTTGAAAATTACTATTATTGACACTATTGCCTCTTAATCCTCGGGAATGATTTTACATTGATAATAGCGATTATCATTAAGCTGCATTTATAATGCACTAAGCTGTTAAGGAAGAACAGGTAAATTCTAAAAATGAATATTGCAGCCGTAAAATCGACGATCTACGCCTGTACATTTGTTCACGTAGCTGTAGTAAAAATTTATATGCATGCAATTATTTGTTGTATCGATTATTATTAATATAATTATTTTTAAATAAAACTTAACCAAAATACCTCTACTTTACTTTATTTTTTATCGCCATTTAATAGATTACTCTTGTTCCCTAGGAGATCCCTTAAATATATTACAATGGGTACATACGGATTATTCAAATTTATTACAAATCTTACAATATCGTCAGAATCATTATAATACGATGACATATCGAAGATTCGTGATGACATTAAACATTCCATTTTATAATTTAAGTATTTGAAAAACTGAAAAATTCAAGGGTATATTTTTCGAACAAATAAACAGAAAAAAAAAGCCGGCAATAGCACACGAGATGAAACGTAGATGATGGAATAAAATGTTGGCCGATCCAGTTTTTATCACCGCTTCGTTGTTGATCTAAAATCAATTTGTATTGATTTTTTCAATTTATTACCAATCTGTGTTGATTTATAAAGACTGTGATATGGAATGACGACAGCAACGTAATTGTTTTAAAGTTATGTGTGAACATTTATTGCACACGTATGACAAAAAATATTTACTTAATTCAATAATTACTTAACTGACACTTAATGTATTTTTCTTTCTATTTACGATGAAACGTGTTTCTATCAACTCTCATACGATTTTTTTTGTTTTTTTTTTTTTTTGTTTGGTTTATTTGATTTTTTGGATTTTTCATGGTATTCTTTATGATGGATGATATACAAGCAATTAATTTATTGTTTATTAGGTGAATTAATCGATGACTGAACCCGAGACTATTTATTTAACAAAAATTATTGTTATTTGAAAAAAATTAATATTAATTATAAGTAAAAACATTTATTTATAACCTTTCGATAAAACATTTTAAATAAATTTTGGCTTTATTTTTGCTGGAAATATTATGAATGATTTTTTGCACAGAATGATCATCGTATTAGTAAATACTTAAACAATAACAATTACGTATAATCATTTAGAAATACGTTAATTTAGATATTAAAGTAGGCAAAGCTTAATATGGATAAAATGAATCGTTACTTCATTTAATTGTCTAATTTCATTGCAGAATTTTTATTTATTAAACTAAAGTACCGAATAACTAATAAGTTAATAACTAATGGAAAATATACAAACTAATTAATGTTCGAACAGTCTTTGCTACAAAAACATTTGTGTCTACTTTAGTGAACACAATGGCAGCGCTTACTTTATTAACTAATAATTTTTAAAGCAATTCCTGTCGTGCGTGAAGCTCTCGCGTTGTTAAAATAACGTCTTATTTGAAATCTAACTTGGATATTATTTGTTTAACGTTCATCTCATAAATAAATCTCAAAAATAAAAATCTTCGTACATATATATATATATATATATATATATATATATGCACAACGCGATTAAACTTTAAATGTGCGTGAATTTATCTGGTAAATATTAAATTCAATTTGGCAAGTGCAATTGCGGCTAGCCCATTGCCTTTTTGATACTGCTATAACGACGATTAATTTAAGTCATTTATAATTCGGAGCCATCTTAAATCAAGTTTCGATCCTCTTTTATCTTTCTTACACTTTATAGGTCACACGCGTTACGCGTTTTTTTTTTTTTTTTTTTTTTTTTTTTTTTAAACTTTTTTTTTTATAATTATCGAAGAACAGCTTTTCGTATAAAACACATGAACATAGCTGGTAGAATATTGACTTCAAAAGTCAATTAAATCGCTGATTTCACTAATAAACATTGTGACATCCTTACTTTTAACGAGAACATAAAATGCCGAGCTGGTTGCATTTAATTTTTGTATCTCTTGCCGCTTAAAATATATTTATTCTTTGAAAAATAATAGCTGCCGTTGTTACAAACGCTAAAGACGTCATTTATGCTGTAATTGCAATTTCTTGCAATATCAATTCAACGATTATTAAAATAATATAGCGAGATGCCTCATTTTTATAAGTTTCTAATTGAAAGTTATTTTGTTCATTGTATATTAAATGTTAAAAGATATAATGATATATATATATTTAATAAATGTCTTTGTTAAAGAGTAAATATTATACATGAATATATGATATGAAGGAAGTGGTAGTATGAAGTAGGTTTATATATTTTTACTATAGTTGTTTTTCTCAACGCATATTTATATTAATATTTGCAAAATTGAATTAATCTATTCCTAATAAATTTTAAAATTAATTAAAACAAAATTTTATTCTCTAGAGAAATTATTACAATTAATTGTGTTGTATTTTGGTGCCACTAATCCTATCTTAATAGGTCGAGTAATTTTACAGCATAAGGGACGACATCATGATCAATAGGATTTGTGAAAATATGTAAAAAAAATTTTCCCAAAAAGTCTCAATTTTTATCTTTATTTATGGATTTGACAAAATTAATAATATACATTTTCAATTAATTTTATCTTTCTACAATTCACATTTTTACAATCTTAGGAACGAAAAATATTATGATATAATAATAATAATAATAATAATAATAATAATAATAATAATAACAATAACAATAATAATAATAATAATAATAATAATAATAATAATAATAGTAATAATAATAATAAAATAAAAGTAAGATGCAGTCTTAAGAATAAAAATGGCATTCTAGAAATTAATATACATCTACTTTTATAGGTGGGGGGGGGGTAATAAATAAGAGATTAAAATAGTATAAGAAACGGCTTATAAATATATAAATAATATGTATATATATAAGTATAAATACAAGTACAAATCGAGAATATTTATTTTCTGGCTTCAATCTTAAATCGCAACAAGAGACAAGTCGAAATTGTATAGAAAACAAAAAAATTATAAGAAAATAAGAAAAAAGGCAAAAGAAAAAAATAACGAAAATTGTAGCGATTGGAGCTCCGGTTCTTGGAGATAAAACATCCTTGCGGGATTATCTGGGAATGACTGGCTGTAGAGGCGCAGAAGTCGCGCATTCGCGTTACCCACGCGTCTTTGATAAATCACAGTGGGAGAAAATAAAGTTAACATCCATGGCAACGCGGAGGGGCCTCGGAGGCGCTTGTGTGCGCAGCCAAACTGATCGCGAATCGGCCAATCCACGAGAAATTTTTCCCTCCTCGACGACGCGTTTCCACATCGTCACGCTGATTACATCCGCGGGAAGCTCGCATCGCCCCTTATATTCCTAGTCGCTAAGCGAGCCTTGCGAGTCTTGCCCGCTCACTTCTCCATTTCTTCTCCACTTGCCTTTTCCCCTTTTATACGGACTTTCATCATTTGCCCTTTATGCCCTTATGAAAGTCTAGGGCAAGCCGTACCAACTCCTTGGGATGAAAATTGTTGCGTAATTTCACAAAATTATGCAATATCTTTGGGTATTTGGGAGCATGAGGGAAGTTTGGCAAAATTGTAATTCATTAAATTTAACTTTTACGGGCTCTCGTTAGCAATTTAAAATTTTTCAATACCACCAGCCTGAAATGCGCAGTAATTTATGTTTTATACGCAAAATAAATATGCAAAATTATTATATTAGTATGCGTAAATATAATTTTATGATATCATCGTATTTGACTTTCATTAAAACGTTAAATAATGAATCATTATTATTCAAGATTTTCCATTTATTAAATAGTAATTTTTTTTTTTTTTTTTTTTTTTTTTTGTCGTACACTTTTAGAATTTTATTGCATAATTTTATATTGGAAGTAATTATACAAACAGTTTTTCTCAATATTTCGAGATAAATGTAGTATTTTGTTGCAAGAATAAAATTATTTGCCAGTGATTTTAATATTATTGTTTTATTACGCGTAAAAAACATTCTGTAATCTTAATTTATTATTTGTTATTTGTTATTTGTTCATTGTTAATTGTCCCTTATTTTCATGACTCTTCACTTGCAACAATAAACTATCTTATCATTATAGCGGAAATCATTATTTACTCTTACTATTGTCTAGTATACTTGGACATTTTATTATTAAAAATTATGGCTATATATTTTAAATGACTATTCATACTATAAATAAATCTAAATATCAAAGTAACTTCTACTACTCGGCAAATTAAGAAATAATTAAAAAATAATTTTTCAAAAATACTCCATATACGTTATATCGTTCTTATCCTATGAACTTAGTTTTATATTTTCTTATTAAAAACATCGATTATTTAATAGTTGCATCGAGTAATACCAATAAGTTTTATATTATTATACATACTAAAAAATTTGAATTGATTAATAGAAAGTTTAGCTGCAATATGAATGCTTTTATAATTCTGGATTATTGTAAAAAATATGTGTCCAATAATATCATGAAAATGTATAATATCGCGAAGAATATTCATCAAAATAATACGAAAATTTCTTTGTTCCATTCGTATGATACAACAACAATTCATTGTAAAAGTGTTGGAATTCGTTGGTAATGCCTAAAACAAAACAATTATTTTATACATTAATGACTAAAATGCAAAGTTTTTGGCCCTTAACCGGCAAGACGTTTGCTTTGTATTTAAATTGCACGTTCCCTAGGTATTTACAATCATTGTATAGATCAATTAGAACAATCGAGTAATGCTATAATGATAGTGTGATGAGCGATTTTTAACATAACATAGAAAACGTCTAAGCTTATATCATAATTAAGCCAATAGATGAAAAAATACTGAATTATTTAAGGAAAAGTAAAATCCACAATTAGAATACAGAATGTTGAAAAGTTCGTTGAAACAAAGACGATCGCTGAGTATTCGCAAAAGCAAATTAAATCTGTAAACCATTATTAATAATCGATATATCTCATTGCGGCTCGAGCTCCTTTAATAAAAATGAAAAAAAGAAGAAAAAAAATTCGCCGTCGTTAGTCGTCGCAGCTAAACTGAGAAGCCACGGACAGTCAATGTTTCGGCAACTCGGCTTCGTTTTGTTCGCCACTCGAGCCGCGTCGCGGATTTTTATTCTTATCCGCGGAAATCCATTAGCATCCTCTATCCCTCTGTCCCTTTAACCCTCCCTCCACCATCTCCTCACCAACACCGTCCTCGAACGATAAAAGCGAGGGAGTCGCGATTTCCATTTAAATTACCTCCCGTATATTCCCGCGTTGGTGCTCCCCGCCCTTCTCTACTCGCCAGCGGCTCGCAACACTACGGTGAAGATGCACTTGGTCGTCCAGCCGGCCTCGTCGCTGGCCTCGTACTCGATCTTGTGTCCGCCGACGTTAAAAATCCGTCCGGGACTCTGGCAACATAAAGGGTAAAATTATTCGCCGCATCCAACGTTGGATGTCTTTTTTTATGGGTTTTGCGCCTTGAGTTTTCTTCTCCATTTTCAGCGAAGCTAAAAAGACGCGGCGAGGGAGTGGCTGAAGAGAGCCGGGGGACGGAGGGGATGTACGATTCACGGTGAATATATAATTGCTTTGATTATTATGCCCAAGTTAACTCCTTTAACTCCCCTAAAGGCTTCCCTTCGTCGCTTCCCACTTTGTCGAGAAAAATGCATAGACTTTTTGACGCAACTTTTCTTCTTCTTTTTATTACCGACATACAATTGGTTTTCCAAAATATCACTCATTCCATCATTAATATTTAGGTAGATTTTAGATAGGTGATGAATAAATAATGAGTATAATTTAAAATTTTGTAATAACTGATATTTTGCACGTTCTTTCGGTAATTTGAAATCGATGTTTTTCTACGAAATTCTTATACAACAAAGAAAATATTACTCTTATAAAGTAAACCCCCCCCCCCCCCCCCCCCCCACCCCCCCCCCCCCCCCCCCCCCC